TGGGGTGTGTGTGTGGGTGGAACGACAACCTAAAACACTTTAAAAAAAAAAAGCAAAAAAAAAAGCCCATTACTTTCAAGGAGAATTTTCAATAATCTCAGGGGCCAGTCAAGAGACCTCATTCCAACTTCAGAATCCAAATAATGACTTAGGATATGGCCCAGCTTACTTTCTGGCATAAGCAGAGCCATGGACTAATTGTGTCACAGAAATCAGAGAGGGAGGTTGATGCTGTACAGGCTCCTCATCTAACAACAAATAAGCAAACACTGAAATTGGAACCAGTATAGACACATCAGCACAATGCTCTGTCTCGGCTCATCAGTAATGCAAAAGAACAAAACTTTTTAACATAGATATAGTATTACACCTCTGCTGCTTTTTTGAATGTGAATGCACTTTAGCTGGTATTAGTTCTCTATAAACAGGTTGATTCTGTCACCATTCTCTTGTCTTCAGGGGATAGAATAAAAAAAATATAAAATAAAAATGTCCGTGCTTAAAGAAATTTCCCAAGAAGGAACATTTTCCTGAATTGGAACCCTCTGAACACTTTCAAAATTACATAGAGTTTTGGTCATTTCCAGTTCTGTCTTTGAACTCACAGTCACTTTTATGGCAAAGCAGCACTGAATTGAGCTACTTCCTAACCCCAGGACTATGGTTCAAACAGGGTCACCAGGCTGCTGATGGAGAAAAGCCTGGAGTTTTTGTGATTTAGTAGAACAGGAGCAGAGGACAACCTACAGCACTATGCTGGGATTGAGGGATCCTGCCACTGCAGGAACAGACAACAGGAGACCAAAGGTTTCTTTGTCAAAATGGTAAATCTCCATCTGTTATTAGCTCACTGCAAAGCTGGGTGCCCACAGAAATTTCATCTTCCTTATGGCATTCATCTTTTGAGTTTACTTTCCCAGCAAAGACTGTATGCATTACAAATTTTAATTTCCAAACCGTGGCTGTTTCAGCTAGAAAAGCATTTTAATCAGGAAAAAAGGTGTATTTTTGGCTACTTTTTCACACACTCCCCACACCCCCAATAGTGTTTGAACTATTTTCGTTCAAGTATGAAAAATACTGCCTTGGGCAAAGACTAACACTCCTTGAAATTCGGGTTTCAGAAAGTTAGAGACACGCAACTGAATAAAAGCCACGATACAGAATCCACCCTAACGGTCATTTTGAAAGAGATATTGGATGCAATTTCCCCACGAGGGCCCCCATACCTGTTAAACGTGTTGTATCCCTTAATGGCATAGTCCACCCCTCTCATTTATTCCTCCTGCTAACAGAGTAAGCAACGAGCACTTGAGGAGCCCAGCTGTGAAAGCACATTAGAAGCTGAACTTCTCAACCTGCTG